CGACCCGACATACTCGCCATCCGCGACGCCCAACATCTGGCTCAGGCCCTCAGCCTTACCCAGCAACCACTCACCGTGTCGCAGGCCATTGCGCCAGTTAAGCGGCAGATTAGCGTAGCCCAAATAAGCGCCCAGCAGCGCGCCCGCAAAGCAGGCATTGGTGTCAGCGTCGCCGCCTCGCATGACGAGGTCTGTGATGAGCGGCTCAAACGCCAGTGCCCGTGATGTGAGCATGCTGGTTGCAGTATCACGCATAGCGAGACGGAGGAGGTGCACGCCTGCGCCCAGAGTCTTGTATACGTAGCCGATCTTGCCGCTGTCGTCCAGCTCTAAATCGTCGAGGCTCTCTACCTTGGCGTGTCGGCGCAGCTCCGAAACGTCCAGGTCTGGCTCGTCTCGCCGTTCCGGGTGCTCTTGCAACGCTTGGGCACGGTGCTTCGCATACCAGTGAATGGCCGCATCGATCATGGAATCGATGTCTGCCTCTGTGTGAACCTCTCGTAGTACTAGCCCGCGCACGAGTGCCGTCCCGATGGCGCACGAGACTACACATCGCGGGTCGACGTGCGTCACGACCGAAAAGGCGGCTGCCAGGTCAAACGTCTCGTCCAGGTTCTTGTCAAGACAGACCAACCCCAGCGGATGCGTCCTCATGAGACTGCCATTGGGCGCCACGTTGTACTTGCAGTTAGTCCAGTGCCGCCGGGCTGCCGCCTCCGGGTCATCAAGATAGGTCTTTGTCCGCACGATGGCGCCCACCGCGCGTCCCAGCCCCAGCGGCAGGGTATCGAGCGGCAGAAAGCCAAACTGCACCCAGACATGCAGTCTGGCTGCAAAGTCTGCTGGGTCGAGAGTTTTGAGGTCCGTGTGCAGGCAGGAGAGCAGCAGTAGCATGGCGTGGTCGGTATCGTCGGTCCACTCGCCGGGTCGATGCGGTCCTCGGTGCGCGTCTCGGCGGAATGGAGTCGCCTGCGACTCTGGGGAGAGCACAAACTTGCGCGCGGGATATGCGGCGGCCGACATGTCGCCGGAGAGGAACTCGGTGTAGAGACCGACCGCGTCGCCCAGCGCGGACCCCACGAGACAGCCGATGATGCTGTCATGGAGGCCTGCCCTGGCTAGGCGCTTAAAGCCATCTTGTGATAATTGTATTTTGTCCATGTAGGGTTGAAGCTGTTGCGCACGGTGGTACTTGCAGCTTTCAGCGTGCTGTTAAATGAAGCCTAAGTGGGAGCCTGTTGAGGGAGCCACGGATAAACCTCGCCAAGCCGCAAGGCAGACTTGCCGGATCTGCCGTATACGAGGTTGGCAAAGCGCCACTGTTACCATAATCCGATTCACGATCCGTGATACGAAAAAGCTGCTTCTAATAGTGGGATTCCTTGTGAATGCACTGTGCACGCGGTGGGCGAGGTCCCCGTGGGATATGGCTGGCCACATTATGGCAATCTGTGTGAAGCGCTTCCATGGTACCACGTTGTAAATGTGTTTGGAGCCACAACGAGATTCTTATGATTGATTGATTCTTGTATGGCGTCAGCCATAGACGTTGGAACATAGTGGTAGATCGCCATATTTAGTCTGCTTGGCAACGGGCATAGAAAATTCGTTGGTTGCCTGGCAGGCAATTCATTAGTTTAATATACAGCTAGCTCGTCGCCAGCTAAACCGCGAAAGCCACTCACGTCGCCTAAATGGCCTCGTAAAAAACTGTCTTACGACGACATGCCAAACACGCCTCGTCCCGTGGAATCGGACGGGTCAAGAGTGGGCATACATCGAATTGGCACAACCGAGCTGCTTGAGCAGATTCTCCTCCATCTTGACATGCAAACCCTCCTCGTCTCAGCAACACGAGTCTGTAGGGCATGGAACAGCCTGATTACAGCGTCTCCACCCCTGCAGCGGGCGCTTTTTCTGCTGCCCGAAGACAACCATGACCCATCAGACACAAATACCATCGTCAATCCACTGCTGGCGAAACACTTCCCGCCTTTCTTTACCCCCGTTTACGATATCGGCTGCCCGTTCCCTATCCAGGGCCTAGCACCCGACGAAGGTTGCTACGACTATCTCTTCGAGGACGTAAGCTACAACGGCATGAAGAATTTCAAGTCCATGCCTGTGTACCAGCTGAGCATGGCCAACGACGACTTCATCGACCACGACGGACAAGATCCCAACGCCAATACAAAGGCCCGGGAGAACAACCCTTATCTCCGAGAATGCGCGTCGTGGCGGAACATGTTGACGTCCCAGCCGCCAGCCAGGAAGCTGGGCTACTGTATGCTCTCGACCGGCGGGAACAGCACCATCGCCAGCACCAAGATTCTCTCCGTCAAATGCCGGAAGGATGGTGATGACCAGGGCGGCAGCATAGAAGTGAACTCGGCTGCGAACCAAAACCCTCCCATACGCATGGCAAACCTGTATGCACAAGTGTTGCTATATATGAAAATGGGATCGAAGCATTGTGGCTTTAGGATCATGTGCAACCTGGAGAATCACGATCGGGACTACGTTACCCGGTACACTTCTCTGCCGTATTATCCGGGCTTTGCGTGGATGGAAGACCATATAGGAGTTTTGTACGATCAAGGCGCAGACATCGTGTTGCAGCACGTTGTTCGCCCTCTGGGCTGTTTTTTCATGGGATCTAACCCGGAGGCAGATGCCGTCTGGCGGCGGTGCCAGCCTGAAAACTTAGAATCAGGTTTATACTCCGAGCAAATCTCTAAATACTGGAGATAAAAACAAAGCGGAATTCAGTGATTCGACGTTACTCGTGTCACGGCACACGCCATATGCCGAAAACCAAGCGCATGTCCACCCATGCTTTAACGATCATCTCCATATGCGAGTCAGGCCAATATATCTTGATGTGCTATGTCGAGTTGAAATACAGATCGCTATATTCAATTTCAAACCTTGGCCAGGCCCCCCTTAGAGAATCATTTCGTTCTGGGACGCCAACGTTGTATGCCAGACACAATAGACTTCATCCCATATGCTTTCATTCACCTCATCCGTTCCTTGGCCATTTTTTGAGCTGAAGAACGGACGACAGCGCTAGAGAGCCTCCATATTGATATGTCACAGGCAAAAGAGCGCTTTGAATGAAGAAAACTCAGTTGCGGCACCTGTCAGTTAAGATGACAGAGGGAAAGTCGCCCATATAAAGTACACTTAGGCTCATGAATAGTTCTCCTCTGTTTCGCCTGATAAGAATGCAAATGCAATAGTACAGAAAGCTCATAGGCAGGTATTGAGCCAACTAGAACAAGAAGTGGCATGTGGTATTTGCCGGTCCTCTATGTACATACAGTCGAGCACCAACACACCTGTATTACAATGGAAATGTGCGAGAGGGTCAGGATGAGCGAATAAGATAGTAGTGAGTCAATCTTCCGTGTATAATCGCACCCGACACCAGAATGCCGGCTTGTATAATTGGCTCACTGTACTGGAATGCCGCTTTGGCTCTCCCGTCGATCTCTTCTCGTAGCCGCGGCAATCATCAACGCCTTATACCCTACACGGTGTGTCTCGCGTGAGCCAGTAGGAAAGCGTTGATGCGATTAGTCATTAGGTTACCAGGAACCAGAACCAGCGTCTGGGGCGTTTAATTTATTCACACCTGGCACTTCCACGTACGCCTCGACATAGGTCGTCCCAGGCGATTACCGCGCAAGAAAGATTCGTCTTAAATTGAGACGCGCTGCCCAAGGCGCTGCAGATTCATGTACCAGCTCAGCGCATCGCAATGCGCTTCCGCGAGAGCTAACAAGACATTAGAATGAGCGACGACGCACCGTACGAGGAAGAAATCAACAAACTAGTCGCCGAACATGGAGCGGTTCCTCCCCCGTATGTCACGTTCCCAGACATACACCCATTTGAGATCTTCTGGCGTATGGGCTCCGGCGAATCCTATTTAATGATATATTCTGCCTGGAGCGCTAAAGAGGGAATGAGCGAAGCCCAATGGATTGAATATTTCCGCAAGTTCCCACCTCCACTGATTTGGCTCACGTGGGTGATTGATTGTATTTGGAATGTCGCGGAGAAGGTCGAGGAGAATATCGGAGAGAATAGCGACGACGACGAGTTCACTTTGGATCCGTTGGAATTTGACTACTGGTGCTATTTCAGACGCACAGCGGCACTTGGCTTCGGAACGGAGTCGGATTGTAAACGTGCTTGGGAAGAGTGGGTTCCAGAAATATAAAAGAAAAAGAAAAGCAAAGAGAAGGAAGGAAAAAGAAATGCCAAGTATGGCGTGCGAGAGACGTTCACGCTCAGAATACATTAGTGTCAGTCTGAATTAAATATATAGTCTGCTTCAGCAGAAACTACTTGTCAAGAAACCGAGCACCCAACTAGTGCAAGAGTAAGACTAATCAATGATATAGGAATATTAAATTATACTCTACATTTGCAACAATCGGCATTCTCTCGTCCAAATTCCATATATCCAAGTCGCACGGGAGACATTGTATCGGGCTGCCTATCCTAGGATTAGAAAAATGTAGAGGCAACCATACCGGAGAAAAGATCATCCCACTGGAAACCATCAAGATCTACTAACTAGCTCCTCGAGGCTCTGAGCCAGCTGATTGCCATATGACGACTGACCTGTCGTGACAGGCGTTTGGTCCGGAACAGCACCCATCGGGCCGCTTCTGTTCGCGTCCACTGGGCTAGGAGTCCCCGCGAGTGACAGTTTATCGGGCCTCTGGTACATCTACGCGGTCGTGACACTCATAACCGGGGTTGTACTGGTGGCAGGAGTACGAGTAGTAGAGGCTCCCCCCAGTTGCAGCGGTGCGGATACCCGTGAGATCTGCTACTAAGCGCGATGCTTCTCCAAGACCTGCATTAGCGACTCGAGCAGGTTCGCCGCAGCTAGCGAGTGGCTTCTTGCATCCTCCAGTATGCGCAGGGCCTCGGCGACCTCCCCATAACGGATTTAATCTTGCAATGAGCCAGTTCCGTTGACGCACGCATCGGCCAGGAGCACAATTCTCGCCATGAAGACGCCATACAGAATGGTGGATAAGCGCAATCACATCTGCACGAAGGGGTGCTGGGCGCGCTCGAGCTGTGCTTCAGCGCGGATGAGTTGTCACGCGGACTTGAGACATGTCTCTCGTGAGGACGTGTAGGCCAAGTTGTTGTTCGGTCCGGATGTAAGATACGTGAATACGTGAGGTACAATTTACAGCGCTGGGTGTGGATCACCGAGTTGGGTAAGTAGGCTTGAATAAAGATGCCGCTTGTTGTTGAGTCGGAGCTGCACTCGTAGGTATCGAGTTGGAAGAAGGATGGGATGTCGTGGATCATCTGGTCAAGCTCAAAATCCATGGCCATGACATGAGCGTAGTAACTCGCCCCACCTGCGCTCGTCACAGCCATAGGGGTGTGGTCGACGATGCTTCATGAAATCTCGGCAAGGCGAAGCCGTTGGAGGAAGTACGACATCTCGGTCGGTTGGGAGACGGGTAAGTCTAGGTGCAGTCCGACGTCAAGCAAGTCTAGGTCATTGATGTTGCGCGGCTTCTTGACTATCGTTTGACGCGGGTTGGCCTGGTACACGCCCTCGCCTGGACCGCCATACCTCGCGGCCAACAGCCTGGCTCAAAGTATTAGTATTCCCTAGTTGCTTTGAGAACGAGTTTACCAAAGACATACCAGTCGGTCGCTACCAAGTACCACCACACCCGACGACCCATCTCGGCTTCGATAGTGTGTACAGAGACCGCATTGGACTCATGGTCTATGCGGTGGAGGTCCAGCTCGCGGCTTAATAGAAGCCCTATCGAGATAAGGGATCGATAGCGCAGTGAGACGCCCTTCCCTTCCAATACCTTCATTCAACATTAGTGCTTGAGTATAACTTATGTACCATAGGGGTCTATTACTGGCCCTTACTAGCACCCGTAACAAGAACAACAGTAGCCATGCTCGGTTCAACTATACTGAGTTACTCTCTTGGAGGAAAAGATCGTCCGTGTCGCATTCTACCAATTCGTTTAGCTGTTTGGGTTTTCTTGTAGACCTTGATTATGGACGCAAGGTGTTGACGGTGTCATACTCCTGGGCAAGGATGGCATGCAGCTTGCTCCGGCCCTGAGACGAGCGTGCATGTAAGCACCAACACTGCCAGTATTCTGCTTATCTCCCCGAATCTCCCCGGGCCTCTCGGGTGCCCGAGCCTAGTAAGGACCTAAAGAGACGCAGCCTGAAGTAGTGTCTTAACCCCTGAGGGGAGAGAAAAGGGGATGGTTAGAGTGGATCTATTGGGTTTTCCGGGTTGCTATCAGTCACTTGTCTTATCCCCACAGCCACACATTCATACATGACATACTCTATCTCTAACATTCAATAGTACGGAAAAGTATTAATCAATCAGGATAGCCGCCATTCGATCCTTCTTACTCAATTCCGGAGTCATACCTGCTTGATATACCACGCACATATACCACTAGTCAAATCAGCGATATGGGGCTATTCCAAATATAGTGGACCGGACAACGGTATTGCCTTCCTACTTGGCCATGGCAGATTCCAGGACGGTGTGAGCTTCAGTTGTACAGTTGCTGGCGGGCTTCTCTTTATTTAGGTCCCACAGGACTCAGCTCGAGTACAGACTAGCGCTTCAGCAAATCAATCCACTAGAAATGCAGACAATGACGATGCATAAATTAGGTGATGAAGAAGCTCAGGTCAGGTTTTACGCCATGTAATTAAATGACCGTGACCTTTTGGTTTCCCAGGTGAGGTTCTGTTTGCGTGCGTATCATAGTATGACATTTGGCCGGTCAAAAGAAGTATCATATTCATCGGAAGCGAATCTATGTCAAAGTGAAATATAATAGTGTTAGTATAATATTACTACAGAGCCGAATTGATCGAAGGATTCGACTGTTCGACCTTTATCAGATCCTGGTATAGCATATATGGTTTGTCCATCTAGTTATGTCGCCATGTTCACGTTTTCCTAATTGATTAATCGCTTCCTTGGACTTATCAAACACCAGTCGTACATCCAGCCTAAACGTTGGGTGAATGCTCGGCTAAATGGTCGTCCAACATGGCCAGATGAGGATCCTGCCAAAGCTCAGGCAGGAAGTTGAGCTGCATCCCCCACGAGTACAACACAGGGTTCGGGGACCCATTCGAACCCGATGCCGGTGTTACTGTACCTATATCCAATGCGTCATTATTATTAAGATACGGAAAGGTTGAGCGGCCATCATTGTTCTTGGCTGTAGCCAAGGCTTCAGCCGGGGTTTCTAGACCGGTGCTTTGTGAAGCAGCTGCATTGTTAATAGCCCGAAGAGCAACTTGGTAGTATAGCCGACTGACGTGGTAAGGAACGGCAGTTTCGCAGTTTGGATCATGCTTTTCAAAAAACCTGATCACCGTGCCCAGAAGATGTAAATCTTCACGGGCCTGGGGGCTAGTTTTGTTTTCCAAGATGTTGATAAGTAGGATATCGACGGTCCAGGCGATGTGATATACCAGGTAGCTAGCAAGGCTGTTAGTATTGCTCTCATGGTTGTTGTTTTGTGCAGGAATGTGGGCACTTACATGGTGAACGGGTGGCCCTGGTCATGGTAGTTCAGTAGGGAGATCGTGGCCCGCGCAGCACTAACGCACAATGCCACACTAGAGATGACCAAGTCGCTCTCTTCGTATTGATTCCAAAGAGGGACAACTTTACTAAACACAACGGAGTGGATAGATATAAGAAGTTGAAAGTAGGAGAAATGGAGTACTGTTAGAGACATTAGACGCGAGCCGTCTAAGCCAGTTAAAGAAGTTTGTGGGCGAGCCATGTCTGGGATTTTCTGCCTCCACCTTTGTAACTCTTCGTCGAGCTCCATCACTCCGGCATATAACTGTTCTGGAGACTGCGTAGAGGCCTGCGGGGAGCGAAGCCTGTCGTAAACTTTGTCTTGGATCTTGCCCAGGATGACCTGTTCACGGAGCCAGTTTAACGTGGAGCCATCGTCAAGCGTAAGCGTGTTACGCCCATCTTCTGGGTCCTCCTCTGGCAGAGAGGGGAGCAGGACGCTTTTAAGTGAGGGTGGTGTTGAATGGTACATGGCCAAGTCTTGCTCTATTATAAAGGCATGATAAAGCAGGGTCCTTTCGTGCAGAGCTGCAGAGCTACTTTGAGTGGGTACAGTATGGTGGTAGCCAGCCATGAGAATTGACTGGATGGCGGCTCCGAGGATGGCGGCAGAAGTATGGCTTCTTGATGTATATATAAGGTACATAACCTAAGGAGAATTAGTGAAGAAGCTCTCGTTGTAAGGATCAGGATCAGGACCATGAAAAGCATTGTCGCGATGCTAAATTTATTGGCGCTCTGCAACATCATCGCAGGAAGCATACTGAAAGAATTTTCAAAGCACTTTTCGGCTTCATCGGGTCGCATATTATCGAATTTGCTTAGCGAATGGGCTAAAACAATATTCAATGCTGCATATGATGTGGCATCTGAGAAGGATTGGTCGTTGAGATACCTTTGAAGTATTTCGGCCAGGTAATCGTCTTCGAGTAAATGGATGGAGCTATTATAGGTGGCGGAAAAGTCTGATGGGTATGAGATTTTTGAGCAACCGTATACATGCATAGAGGCCATTACCTTTGACGCATGCGATGATTGTATCATTAGGGGGTAAAGGATGGTTGGCCCGTCCTTCCAAATTTCCCAAAGGTACTTTTCTTGGAATCTTCAGGCCAGACAGGAGGGAACTAAAGCTGTCATCGCCTACCAGTGCATCTATCCAGCGGATACCATCGGGAGAAAGTATAGCGCATGATCCTGTTGGATGGTGTCTAAGTTAGTTGTGGTCTGTGAATCTTGGACTTTTCCTGCGCTGCGTTAGTTACCTATACACAATCTCTCGCCTTTCCTATCCTTCTTGTCAAGAGAGATTGACCTATCCTCTTGCGAGCAGAGGTTAATTGTCGGCGGACTTTGACTTGGAGCCGGCGAAAGCCCCGTAGTCTGTTGATTGACTGGGCCTGTCATATCATGTAGATATTCACGTCTCATTTGGGTAGTTGGGAGATTCATGGATTCCGAAATTAAACGCTCCATATTCTCCAATCGCTGAGTCAGAGCACGGTAAGACCTGTGTCACAAGATGAGCACAGGGTAACTAAGTGTGTAGGCACGATACAATGCTGAGTGGTACATTTTATTCTTTGGAGGACGCTGCCTTACGGCACTGTACTCGCAGCTATCCCCTCTTTCATTACATCGTGCGCAAGACGGGCGATTCCCGTCGCATCTAACCTAGAGCAATCAAGGTTAGAGCGATATGGTCGAAACCCCGAAGGCAGGTTGGACTACCTTGCGCGTGCGGCATGGGATGCACGCCCATCGTGACTTAGTTTCTCTATTGGGGTTTGAGTTCTCCATTGTGGGCTGGTCCCTCACACTTGTGTTCTTGGCTGGAAGCACGGATCGCGATGATATTCGGATACAAAATCGACGCCAGATCATCTGACCGCCCCACTTTTTTCCAGGCAGCGCTTAGGCAGGCTATATTGGGCGTAATGATGTCAATACTAGGTCTTCGATCCATGTATATTATATACATATTTCTCCTGATGTTGGAATCTTCATACCTTGTTAGCCTTTATTAATTGCCTTACTGATGTCTTTTCCTACAATTAATGTCAAATGCGTGGAACCTTACCGATCCTACACCGAAACATATATTTTCTGAATGGTTTGCTTCATTTTTCTTGAAAGGAAGCATCTTTCTTCACTCCCTCACCTTTCTCTAGAGATTCTAGTTTTTCAGTAACGGGTTCTCTGAGCTACATAGTAGAATAAGAACTGAAGTGGTGATGAGAGGATACACACACTACATGGGGTAGAAAGGTCAAGTGTGACCACTGAAAACGGGGACGGTCGAGAAGAATGTGGGCTTGGGAGGGCGGAACTGCAGCCATGTGTGGATAGATTTAGATCTCTAGCTATGGGTTATTCATATCTGGGATTGCCCATAATATAATGCATGGGAGTGAGGATTGAGGCTGCCTCTTGTGGTGAGAATTGTCGAGGTCGAACAGTCGAGCGTGGGGCTCGAATAAGGCCATACCGAAGAAAAATAAACAAGAAAACAATCATTTAGACTTATGTATCCCTTCTCTCTATTAGGTAACGCCTTATATTGTTCGGTGTATGATATCTCCTCCATCTGCATTGGGTGGAAATAACTATAATTAGGGTTTCTAGTTGAACATGTTACATGTGTATAAGCTATGGCGCAAATGAGTGGACCGAGAGGCAAGGATACAAATAGTCAGAGCTATTTAGCAGCTCGGAGGAAGGTCCGACAGTAATATCAGCTCGTAATTCTGATCTACGCATGGCATGCCACTGTTCATCGGCGCCCTTCACTAAGGAATGTTTGATGGCAAGCCATTAACCATTCGCAGATAGACCCGAGGTCGAACTGGTGGCACCACTTGACGCCCACCCCATTGTTGCCCAGACGACGAAGATCTGGCTATTTTCACGGATAGTGTATACACAAGCACACCCTGTAAGCTTTGGTCCGCCTAGATCAAGGAATATTGACGGAAGCATCACGAAGGGAGAGCACGCGCAATGGCTTACCGTTGTTCTAGAAGACCGCATTGAAGACCAGTGGCTACTAGTGGCGTGAGCAAATATACTCTGTTGTATATTCTTGTCTACAGCAGGCTCCGATGCGTCGGACGTATTTTACAGGCTGTCGCTATCATCTGGGACTCTCGGCGGATTGCCGTCGCCCAGGTTTTCGGCTCTATGTCCGTGATTGGTGCCCCATTTCCCCAGGCATGAGTAAAGCTGGACAGCCTTGACTTTCCCTGGATAGAAACCCTAAGCCGCCGAGCCAGGTTGGAACATAGCGCAAGTATTATACCCCACAATGGCATCACAAATGGACCCCGGATGGGCGGGGAAGCTACACAAGGTGATTGTCGGGTTGCCTTCGGCCACACCAACATCGTTCCCCGGTTTTTCCCCCGGCAATCCGGGGCAGCCTGCTGTTCAGAAGGTGTATATAAAGCTCGGCTCTTAGGCATGGGCCCGATATCAATGCCTGTGTGTACTAATATTTTCAACAACACCAAGTACTTGGGCTCATAGTTCAGAAGATGCTGCTGTCCTTTGAGAAACCCTACTTTGGTCTGACCGGGGGATGGCTGACCTTTTGGCTCACAGTGAGTTGTGATGTTTACGATGCTCCATCTCAGTTAGGAGCAGAATATAACAATGGTGAAACCACAGGTCGCTTGCGGTGTGGACATGACACTGTTCGGATACGATCAGGGTGTCTTCAGTATGTCGCTCCTTCGTCGTGAATACAGGGAAACTAACCACTTTTTTGGCAGGCGGCGTAGTAGTGACACAAGACTTCCTTGAGCTCCATGACCTGGTCGGCCCTACAAAGACTACAACACTTTCAACGGTGACTGCCATCTATGATATTGGTTGCTTTTTCGGTGCCATTCTGGCATTTGCGATCGGCGACCGCCAGGGCCGTAAAAACTGTATCATTTTGGGTACTGCTATCATAGCCATAGGGACCATTCTGCAAGCATCATCATACAGCTTGGCCCAGATGTTCGTCGGCAGGGTTGTACTAGGGTGAGTTGATTTGTCTTTCGGGCCAAGCTTGTCAACGGAAGACTAACCAGGTGTACAGTGTCGGCAATGGTATGAACACAGCCACGGCACCCATCTGGCAAACTGAAACAGCACAGGCCAAATGGAGAGGAAAGCTCGTTATCTTTGAACTGGGGTTGAATGTTGGTGGCTACTGTATCGTCAACTGGATCAATTACGGGCTATCCTTCCACGAGGGACCCATCGCGTGGCGTTTGCCTATCGCTCTGCAGCTCGTCCTTGTGATCATGTTATTCCTCACTGTCCCGTGGCTTCCCGAGTCTCCAAGGTATGCTGGTGATTCCCTGCTTAGAGACTGTCAAGTTATTCTGAGAACCATCCAGATGGCTTATAGCACATGATCGTCATGATGAAGCGGCAGAAGTGCTTGCCTGTATAGAAGGAATGTCCATTGACGACCCCTATATCACGACCCAGCACAACGAAATCAAGTTTAGCATCCAGTACGAGCGCGATAATGCCGTTCGGTGGCGCGACCTCTTGCTTCGTCGGCAGTCTGACGGCACCAAAACCCTTCGCCGGTTGCTCCTAGGCGCCGGCACACAGGCCATTCAGCAGCTTCAAGGTATGTTTGTATTCCAGGCAATGAGCACCATTCGTACACAACTCCCAGCTAATAAACCATGGCATGTCTAAAGGAATAAACATCATGAGTTATTATTTGCCCACAGTGTTGATGAACTCGGTGGGACTCTCGAATACCATGGCACGACTGCTGACTGCCTGCAATGCGACGTCATACTTCATCTTTTCTTGCCTGGCAGTTACAGTGGTCGAGAGGCTGGGCCGCCGAGGTCTTATGATGCTTTCTGGTTTTGGCCAGTTTGTGTGCTTCCTAATAATCACTATCTTGCTTAGGTTTGCCGAGATCGATAAGGTATACGCCACTGCCTCAGTTGCCTTCTTTTTCCTGTACCATATTGCATTCGGAATGGGAATGCTCGGCGTGCCATGGCTGTATCCAACCGAAATAAACTCCTTGCCGATGAGGACTAAAGGGGCGGCGGTTGCAACGGCAACGAATTGGTAGGAGATGTCAAACAGGATTAGTTACTAGTGTGTGTCTTGTACTAACGTGATGATTTAAAAGGATCACCAATTTTGCTATTGTTGAGATCACACCCATTGGGATCCAAAACATTGGGTGGCGATTCTGGATCGTGTGGACTGTGCTCAATGCCGTCTTTCTACCGATTATCTACTTCCTTTATCCGGAGACAGGTTTGTTGACACATAGCTGGTCGATGCGTGGACTACGTGCTGATCAGACTGCAGCAAACCGAACATTGGAAGACGTGGATGCCTACTATCGGTCCAACCCGCCATTGATCGTGGCCGGTGATCCGGATGCCACCTCGACAAAGCGTCCGCTTAGGTTCATCCAGCACGAGGATAGTGAAGTCCAGAGGAGGGCGAAACGAACTGATTCTCTGTCCTCTAAGAGTGACGAGTTCGCTAGTGCAGAGCATGTAGGGTGACTTACGATACCCACAAGAGGGGAAAAGTTTCATCCTTTGAGAATGTGATTCATTCATGACTGGACATCTCTACTATCCACAAGGAGCTATATAGACGACTGAATTCAAGCCTTCTTGTTTTATTCCTTCGTGGGTGCACATGTATGGTCGTCTCGGAGATATCTCCGAGGCCAGTATCCCCTGACCCACGCCACGCGACGGAGTAAGTCCCGACACATCCAAAACCTGATCGCTTCCCTAATTACTCAATATTTAGGGTGCGAGAAATACAGCCAGGGAACTGTATTCCACAAGGCGAAAAGGTCAGAATGCCCTGGACTGATCTATATACCAAGCCACCGTTACATAGGGTTAATATTCAGGTACTACGTAGGACCAGTGACGCTGATATAATTATCGTAAAATCAAAAATACAAAACCAATATGATTTTTAGAGAGAGTCAAAGAAGTTGACATTCCCAAGACACACTATCTACTCATAGTCATAGTATCTCTTACCGAGTGAAAGGAGGAAGCAGCGCGGCTGAATCGCGATGAACACTTAGCAATAGGAGGACATAGTAACAAGAACCCCGCGTCACCCAAAGGACCTGAATGCCAGGTCAAGTTCGAAGGTATATAGCATCGTTGACAACCTTAGCCGACGCCTTGTTCAATTCTGCATACCACTTGTTGACAACCATTTTAAGCCGATCCTTGTTGATACTCTCCTCAGTTGAAGCGTCTATCTTGACCAAAAGCTCGTCCTTGTCAGCTTGTTCCGGTGTCCCCTTGACTGCATTCCGAAACTTCTGCTGCACCGTTGGATCCAAGTTGGACCGCATAACCACTTCTAAAAGACCAGGTTTATCAGCGAAAAGCTTGTCTTTCAGGTAGAGTGTTAAAAGTAGTGAAGTCTGAATCTTTTCCGAGAGTGCTTGTTTGGCGCTTTCATCCAGGGATCCCTTGATTGCGTCAAGAAAGTCGTCCTTCTCAGGCTGCTCACAACTTGACTCAACTAATTGTATGAAAATAGTCTTATCATTGATAAGCCTGTTGGCTAAGTAGGACTTGGCAGTTGCTGAACCCTGAATCGCTGTCAAGAGGTCCTGCTTCTCAGTTTCTCCCAGGGTTCCCTCGATTGCATTGACAATCCTGTTCTTCACAGCTGTATCCGTCCACGAATCTGCGGACTTAACCACTTTTAAGAGATCCCTTTTGTCAGCGATAAGTTTCTGGACAATGTACACTGCGCACTGAGCAGTTCCAACGCCAAGTGTCCAGCCAGATCCTCCGTGTCCATAGTTATGAACGAGAGGAAATCCACAGTCCTCATCAGCTCTGACCTTGACATTCTTTTTGGTGAATGGACGCAAGCCTTGGGCAAAAGGGAAGTGGTTCACAAAGCCTGCGTGACTCAAGCTGGGCATGAACTCTCCTGCCCTGTCCCACATCTGCCGGACTTCGGGCGATTCAGCAGTCAGATTCATCGTATCGCTATGCCGTTGGATGATGGAGCCCACGTAGAGGATGTCGTCGTTTCGAGGCACAATGAACACCGTCTTGGTTGATACATTACCCGGCCCCATTTGTGCAGGAACCAGATAGGCGTCATTCAGATGACGGAACTTGCTGTAGCGTGTATTCTCAACGCGACGGATTGCGCCACGAACCGGGTACACGTCCTGGTCGTTGACTAGCTCTTTGGCACCGAGACCTGTGGCATTGACAATGACATCGGCCTTGTAGTCTGCTAGTAACTGCCGACCAGTTTCCTTAAGATCTTTCACCACTCGGGTCTCCAGTGTTGCCCCCTTTCGTTGGACAAGCGCCATGAGATAGCCCAATGCCTTGTCAGTATTGATAATCGGGGCGTCATGGGTGTAGCCACTTTTGAACTCCTTTCCACCGTAGCTCAGATTGATAGATGGTTGCTTGAAGGCATTTGTGATTTCCTCTTTGTTATGGTATACAGCATGATTGCGAATCATCCTTTTCGCGGCATAATTCCTGGAGGCATCGCCGCTGATGACGTAAGTCTGGATGGCCTTATATTTGTCGTTGTGTTCATATTGTGGCAATGATCTGTCGGTGCAGCTGGAGATGACGTCTTCATAGAAGAATTGATGAAGCTTGGCGACGGAGAGGCCCAAGGAGTGACCACCTTTCTCGTGTTCGTCGGAAATGTCTGCATAGGCCGTATAGAATGCATAGCTTTGCATGGCCCAGTCTCGATAATGTTGCACAGTGGCCCAGCCATCGCCTGGAGATTCGATTTCAGTCAAGCCACAACCCCCTGGGGGCATCTCCCATAAAGCCCCGGCAATCTGAGAAGTGATACGTGACTCGCTGAAGTCCCAAGTGCGTGCCCACTCTTTGGCAAGAATTGTTACTCGAGTGCCCTGGTCGAGAAGCATCCATGCGACCAGCAATCCGCTGACACCACCGCCGATAATGAGCACATGCGGGCTGTCGGCGTTGGGTGCCCTCCGCGGAGAATCGCCAGTTGAGACGTTAAAGTCCTCAGCACCTGGAGTGTACTTGCCTTTGAATACCGTCACTTCGGGTGCTGATGCCATAATGTTGAGTCTGGGGAAGAGTAAACGAATTCAGTGGTAGAGCTGGAAGCCGATTGCCTTGGGATGTTCAATACTTCAAATCGATGTGGATGGGATAGTAGACCGGACGAGGGAGCTTCGCAGTATTTATAGGCTGAGATCTACTGGTACCATGCAATGGCATGCTCAGTGATAGTGCCCTCGGTGGTGTAGCATGAATTGCTTTGCTATGAGGGATATATTCCCGGCCTCGCACACCTGCGGACTCTCCAATGACAATGTTCCTTTGGCCAAGAATCCTCCTGTACCATAAGACGCAGCGCATCATGTGCGATGAGCTTTGTCCATGTAGCTCTGGGGTGAATATCTGATGATCATCTCGCTTCCCTTCTGGGAACCAGGAGTCCAGTGCGCCTTCCAGTACAGTAAAAATCCTGCCTGTGTAGTGGAATTACACCATACACTTCTCCAAGTGTCCGGACATTCCTACACGTCAGCATTCCAAATGCATGATGCAGGAAGCTACAGCCACCGTGGACCACATATATCAGAGGAAGAGAGGTCGAATCCACTCTCTCGCCTACGTCAGATTGCGAGGAAAGCAGCCGAGAGTGTGTCGATCTGAGGTCTATGCAGTTGGCCTTCTCTGATCCATTCCAGACATGGTTGACTATAGCCATGCTCCAATTCGGAAGAGGGGTTATGGACTTCTCCACTGGGAACCATTCAAGTTTGGCTAGAGCGTCAAACTAGACCTAAGACTCTAAATTATTGATCGCCTATGTCGGCACCAACGGTGAGAATATTAAGATTATTTGTTAGCAGTACGGTGTTTTTCACACTTTCTTCGAGTACCCACAGTTTTAGGTCCACGGCCCACCCCGACCGTGCATGCATGCATATACACGTCAGTCATAGTATGCTGCGAAAGTCGTCCTTCTCTGCAATTTCCTTCCTTCTCTTCCACCAATAAGCAAGTACAGCCTTTCTCATCAAGTGCTAGAGCGCAGAGTTGGTGTAGTGTCAATGCACCAGACTGGTAGCTCTTGTTCTATCGCTGTGTAAATCGCATAGACGATGTCTCAGCCAGCTGTCTGCTGAATTTCGCCGCGTGCTCATTTCGTCTGCATGCATATGCGGGCTGTGGGAGACCGACTTATTTCCAGCTGCAGTATACCCTTTACGGTGAAGCAAGTACTGCATGGCCCCTACTTTGGTAGGATCCTGTAGGCTGATAGAGCGTGGATATTAGCACTAGCACCTGAGATGGAGTAGTTCGTGAAGCGGAAGCCTGTCTATGTGAGGCATTGTGATGCAGTAGACTAGCCCACTATGCTGCATAGTCGCTGCACCTTGTAACTATCCATGAGTTCGACTGGCTCAATCTCGTTTTTATTTGTCAGAACTGAAACCTGCACATCATATCATATGCAATGGCCTTGCTGACCTCCCTTGCGGGCATTATGGATCGTCATTTCGTTAGTACCTTGCAACCACGGCCATAGACAGTCCTTCGGATAAATGTTCCTACTGCCAAGACCGGATCGAGGTTCCAACAGTGGCAGTGATACTTAAACGTGGTACTAATAAACCCATCTCACAGCATTATTGCCTCTCCGACTGGGTATCGAGGACATGCTGATCATTCTTGTGGCTGGCTGAGATCTGCCCGAGGGGTGTGCCGATCATAGCGCAACACAACAAGTGAGCTGGTCGGCCGATTTCAAATATTATTTGCAGACGTGCAAATGGTACAAAGTGGCATCTCGTGACATCATATTACGTGGCCCGCAGAGCTTGGAGAGAGTAGACAGCAGCCGTTTGCAAACATTGATTGCTGCACGATGGTTGGTTCTGAGCGAGGTCCGCTGTGGTTGAATATTGGGGATATCCATGTCGGAGCCTCTTGGAAGGCTACGTTCCTGCCCCGCACAGCCTACAGAACAGCAAACCATCCATGATCGTCATACACCCATTTGCTATTGAAGTAAAGCCAATTAGGCTCCCCCGCGAAGAGAGTTGTCTCGCAACGGCCTGCCTCAATGAGGCATCTCCCCAAGTTAGTCAGTATATTCTTAGCTGGAACCTGGCTGTAGAGTTTTATATAGATATGTTTTTCTACTCATCCAAGACCCCGCCTTGGCGTAAGTGTGAATATAGGGTGGATTTATACTTGGAGATCCATGCTTGTATTAAGGAGATGGAGATGTCTCATTGAGTAGTGCCGTGGAAGTGGCCGGCATCATTACCGTCAATTCATTGTTCTCGAAGTTGGCAAGGACAAACTGGAACGGAGTCTCCAACTTTTCGAGCTGAAGCTAGTCGACGAGCATGGGAAGCACCTTGCATACCTGCACCAGTGGGATATCGATAAACGTGTCTTTAAGTCATTGGGTATCTCAGGCGGTTTGGCTGTAGCAATTAACAGATTTATCTGCTGCTCAGCTCCGCACTAGTTCAACATGTTGCACTTCTTGTGGATGTTCCTAATGCTTGTACAACCATGGGACTAATGACGGATGTCTTTGATTTTCATATTCGGCCGGAAGCTGTTCTGGGCTCAGAGAGATATGAGGTACTCTTGAGTTTGCGGTGTTCAAAACTCGGAAATGGAAATATGGGATGAAAGATGACGACATTCCGATGGAAAAGTCTGGCTATGGGTACTACCCATCCTCAGCGCCATATTCAAGCATCAGGCTAACCACATTCTGATGTTCACCCTGGGCAGCACACTCGAGTGCTGTCATGCCAAACGAGTTTTTGCACTTCAGCACCCTTGTCAAGGAGCAACATAACCAGATCCTCATAACCATAACTGGCAGCGTATATCAGTGCTGTACTGCCCTCATCATCCTGACAGTTTAGATTAACACCACTTTTAAGTAGCAGCTGGACTATACCAACATGTTCCTGTAAAGTAGCCCAGATCAGTGGCGTGAAGCCCTCCTCGTCTCTGCACTCTAGATCAGCGCCATTATCAAGTAGTAGCCTGACCACATGTTCATTCCCCTGTATGATAGCACTCAGCAGGGGTATGGAATCATGACTGGGGTCAGTGCCATCTCCATGCCCAGGATCAGCGCCCTTTTCAAGCAACAGTCTGACTACACACTCATGCTCTCCGGCGGCAGCATATGCCAGTGGTCTGCGACCTTGATCATCTCCACGCATAAGATCAGCCCCTTTCTCAAGTAGCAGCTTAACCACACCCTCTTGTCCATTTTTAGCAGCGTATATCATGGGTGTGAGACCAGCGTCATCGCTATCCTCGAGACCAGCACCGTTTTCAAGTAAAAGTCCGACGACACCCTCATGTCCGTTTATTGCAGCATGTATTAGTGGTGTGCCACCACCATAATCACCACGGTGAACGTAAGCACCCATTGCAAGCAGCAGCCCAACCACATCCTCGTGTCCATTTTTGGCGGCACATATCACGGGTGTATAGCCGTAACAACCTTCACTGTGAAGATCGGCACCCCGTTCAATCAATAATCTAACCACATCCAAATGTCCGGAAGAAGCGGCAAGTATCAGGGGTGTTTGACCATCCTTATCTCCGTCTCTGCACTCTACATCAGCGCCCCTTTTAAGCAGTGCCTCTATAGCTGATTTATATCCATGTCGCGAGTACCATAACAGCGATGAGCCTCCAGAGACTTTAATATCATGTTTGTATAGGGGACCCATTTGTTGAATGGCGTAAATACGGGAACTTGCCCTTAATATAGAAAGAACATCCTCCGCGTTTGGTAGGCTTTCAATGATGAGAAGTAGTACCTCATTGGGAAGGTTGAGGAGAGACATTGTAAAGGCAAAGATAGCCTAGTTATCGAGCTACTTCTCAACAGTTCTAAGTATATTTGGCCATTTCCCTGATGGAAAAACAAATGCGGTATTCAATGTCTGGAGTGCAAGTATTCCATAAAAGGAAAGAGTTTGATGCGCTTCAGCTAAACAGATGATCACATGACCGACGTACACACTATACCAGAGGCAGTAAAGGCCAGTTTGGCCCGTGACCCGTACTTGTGTGGAGTAAGCTTCTTAGACCCACCGCTCCTAGCAGTGTTGACCTTAATAATAACTGCTAATATCTACGCTCTTCCTCTTTGACTACTATTTCTACCGCTCTATTCATTCTCACATTGCACAACAGCAGACTACGTAGCATGATCCACCGCATCCAGTAGATCCTGATTTCCCCCCACACATGCATGTAGCAATAATGAGAAACTTTGATACTAGATTGAATTGCACTCTCGATGTCGCTGTTGCGAAAGTACTTGTGTCAAACTTTCAGTAAAGAATACGTCTCCACGTCGCTTTCACAAGCCTCCTATGTGGTTAGTTGTCTTGACATGAATCTCCACCGCGTTGACATTGCAAGCACAGCAGTTTGCCCCAACAACGGTTACAGAGTTTGCACTTATCACAGGAGCGGTGTTTCGCCTATCGCGATTGCCTTGGCCGTGCGATCCGGTCTGGAAAGCACTTGTGTTCACACAGGGCCATTGTTGTGAGATGAGACTACGTGGTTGACGCCGCGGGGCACATGCCCCTAAGGCCGTTAGGACTAGCTGTAGGGCATGTTGGGGAGTGAAATCGGAGAGGGCCCAGAGCAAGAAAACTCTATTTGTCCATTTTTCGGCGTTTTTACCGACCTAGCATGTCTTCAACGTATGCGACTAGGCTCGGGACTAGGCACCGCAGCGGCGCCTGTGGGTCTTCCTCGGCGATTCCACCGACACAACCAAAATACGAAAGGTGGGTGTAATATTGCCACTCGTATGTTTTTGTCCGGGGTAAGAGTCTGGGGGAGGAATCTGGGGTATTTAGTCATTAATCAAGCCTTTAGCAATATCTTCTGGTCCATACTCTATGTGATAAAGGAATTATAAGAGTCAGGGCACTTCCTTCCATACCTCCTGTGTAACTGTTGTTAGAGCTGGCCCATTTTCTATCCTTGTTCTCCTGCCTATCCTCATCACAGACTGTATTCCTTTCCGAGGGGAAGGACGGAGCAACGCCGTCGTTTTCGCCACACATTATACTGATTCATACATAACTAGCAATGGGAGCTGGTCGTGGCAGTCCCACTGTCGCCAGTGGTCAGGCGATTGCTTATGGTCCCACGGGGTACAAAGGCATAATCAATGAACCTCGGATCTTTGGACTAGCATGCTTCGCCTCCATAGGCGGGTTTTTGTTTGGGTATGACCAAGGTGTAATATCTGGTGTACTTGTCATGAACAACTTTGTAAGTCAGTTTCGTGGGTGTTTGGTATCATATTATATAAACCGTCTCCAATCCCGTGTTAACATCTGTGTCTCAATGCAGGCAGAGCATTTTCCAACCCTGACCGAGAACGCAACCCTACAAGGATGGCTCGTTTCAATCATGACCTTAGGTGCAATGTGTGGGGCTTTTGCGAATGGTCCCATCAGCGATAGCCTGTCACGCCGATGGTCGATCTTATGTGCCAACATCGTCTTTCTCATCGGCTCCGTCATCCAATGTGCAGCAGAAAACGTGGCGATGCTGTTCGTTGGTCGCTTCGTATTTGGCTGCGCAGTTGGCATGCTAGCGATGGTTGTTCCTCTCTACCTTTCCGAGCTTGCGCCCCCAAATATCCGAGGCGCATTGGTGGCCTTGCAACAGCTCTCGATCACGCTAGGTATCATGAGCAGCTTTTGGATCAACTACGGAACACAGTATATCGGTGGTACCGGTGCGGGACAAAGTCAGGCTGCTTGGAGAATCCCTTTCGCCTTGCAATGCTTACCTTCAGCTATCCTTGCTATCGGTACCTTCTTCCTTCCCTACAGCCCCCGTTGGTTGATGAATAAAGGTATGCGGAATTGACGAATAGATACTGGCTCATCTAACTGACGTTCTGGTAGGCCGAGAAGAGGAAGCAAAGCAGGTCTTAGTCCGCCTAAGACGGCTTCCTGCTACTGACTACAGACTCACGCTTGAATTTCTCGAGATAAAGGCTGCGCGGGTGTTCGATGAGGAGAGTAGGCTGGCAAAGTATGGCGACAACAGCTCGCGGTTCCAGATTGCATGGAATCAATATAAAGAGCTCTTCACAGTGCCTCACCTACGAAGGCGCACAACAATAGCATGTCTACTCCAGATTCTCCAACAATTCACGGGCATTAGTAAGTTTATTTCATGGCAACAAAAGTCCATCCACTAACCCTATCAGACGCGGTTATATATTATGCCCCACAATTCTTCGAGGCCATCGGCTTAAGAGGTAACTCGGTGAATCTGCTCGCGACTGGAGTTGTAGGTATTGTATTCTTCGTATGCACCATCCCAGCAGTTATGTACTTGGACCAGTGGGGCCGGCGGAAGACCTTGATACTTGGATCTATCGGAATGTCGATCGCCGAACTGATAGTGGCGACCTTGTATGCGGTTTACCAAGACCGGTTTTCAGAGCACCCAGCTGCCGGCTGGGCCGCTTGTGTCTTTGTCTGGGTCTATATCGGAACCTTTGCGTTTAGCATTGCCTGTGTGAACTGGGTCATGCCATCGGAAATGTTCCCCCCGGCGACGCGCGGTAAAGCTGTTGGCGTGGCGATTGCCGCCAACTATCTCTCCAATTTTATCGTCGCGTTGATCACACCGAGGATGCTCCAATCTATCACCTTCGGCACGTTCTACTTCTTCTTGGTGTTTTCTATCACGCTTGGGGTATGGACCTTTTTCTGTGTTCCTGAGACGAATGGTGTTCCCATTGAGGAAATGGATACATTGTTTGGTGGCAATGAGGGTGAAGCGGACCTACAGCGGATTGCGAGCATTAGGGCGAGGCTAGGATTCGAAACTTCGGAAGACGGAAAGATGGTGCTGGAAGAAACCAAACACGACAGTGTAGAACATTGCGAACGCGTAGACTAGGCAGGCTGATCGCGCAGTTTGACATACAGGTCAGGATTGATACCGTGGTCAGCAAAGCTAAGCTGCATAACACTGAATGCATAGTGTCGGGAGACCATTCATGACGCACCAGCGAAACGCCTTCTCATGGGAAAGCTCAGGTCGAGGATACAAAGCATTCATAGTCTCCCCATGTTGGCTTCATGGTAAATATATTAAATCAGTGGTTGAGTTTCATAACGAACATGAATCTTGTGCTACAATGACTATGTTCCTTACGCCTCAACCAACAGTATAAACAAACTACCAATGAAGTATTTTATTAAAGTACAAAATACGCATAAAAGGCTCTACGAATCGACGTGACATAGACAAAGTCCAAGGATCCCACCAAAACAAGTGACCGATATGTATTACACAATATAACTCTGCATTCTTTTGCGCACCACAACTAATTGCGAATAATCTCTCTCCCATCCAGCCAATCCATAAACCAAGCATAGCACATCAGGACCCTTCGCCTCCATGACCGCGTCCAGAAGAAGTTGCCAGATCTCCAACTTAGCCATGCACCGTAGCCAGTGTACTCGCGCTGCCCTTGCACCACACCGTCCCACGCACCCGTGTATGTTACCAGTGACCGCTGCTGATATTTAAATGGTCGAGTGTCCTTGAGACCAGAGTTGAAAAGCCGAATGAGATAATCCGCTTTTTGGATTGCAACTTCGGCCGTTGTCGGTAGTGTTCCGCCCTCGATGTCTGCCGCATCGCCCATTGCAAACACATTCGGTATCACGTTGCCATCTGGTGAGAAGACGTTAAGATGATCATCTGTCAGGATTCGGACAAGGCCATGTTCGGTCTTGCGGAGCTGCAGTTGGTCGACCAGCGGGATTGATCTGTTTCCGGTGGCCCAAATGAGCATCCCGTAGCCAGTGATCCCAGACTCCCTGGTCTCGATGGTGTCCTTTGTCACGTTGACAATGTGGCAGTTCAGCTTGACCTTGACCCTGTTGGTTTTCAATGCGCTGCAAGCGTATTCTGATAACTTTTGGTCAAATGGGGCCAGAATCTGGGGTGCGACATCGATCACCGAGACGGACGTCAGGTCCTTGAGGTGTGGGAATAAGACTCCCAAATCGCCTTCGAAAAGATCGGTTAATTCAGCGGCCACCTCGATGCCAGTGGGACCGCCGCCAACAATCACGATATGGAGCAGCTGCCTCTGGCGCGCCTCCGATGTCCCCGGCAATGAAGCCATCTCCAGGATGTCATTCAGACGAGTCCGCACAGTATTTGCATTGGCCACAGTCTTGACAAAGATGGCGTTCTCCGCCACCCCAGGGATACCGAAGGTGTTGCTTCGACAGCCTGGCGTGAGGATCACACGGTCATAGGATACTTCGAAACGATCCTCTTTCAGTTCTTCGAATGCGGGTTGGCAGATGAGCACCTGCCGGCTGAAGTCGATGTCGACCACGAAGGCCTTGATGTATTTGGCATGAAAGTCCTTCCGCCGGATCGGCTCATGGGCCAGACGGGGGTCAAACAGCCCACAGGCCGCACTGGCGAGGAGGGGAGTCACTGCAGACGTGTTCTCCGGCGCAATGAGGGTGATATCGTATTTTCGGTGGTCGATGCCGTATCCAAGTCGATAACCACCCCATCCACCGCCAATGATGACTACCTTTTCCTTGCTAGACATTGTTGATTTGTGGTCTGATGTTGGGGAGTGGTGCAGAAAGAGATTGCAGAATGAAAGTCACCTTCCCCTGAACGACCTTTATAGTTCACACCGGGTATGCATTAGAAATATACTGTCGATCTATGCAGAATATTCCTGACATCATGACTCCTTGTCCCGAACTAGTAGACTAGAGTCATCATCGGGAACACACGAGAGAACCGAGGCGAGGTGGTCTGACAGATTTTGCCACGTAAACATGTTACTGGCCTAGAGGTCTCTCTCAAGCTGGTAGGTTCAGGTAAGGGATGGACGCGCGAGTTGTGTGCGGGTATGGATGTACCTGCGAAAGCTAGATTCGTGAAGTTAAACTTAAGCTGTCATGAATGCTTGGCAGCGTACGGCCGAGCGTGCTTCTGATTGGCTCGATACTCTAGCCCAAATCGGCAATCCTCCGCCCTCACTAGCGTGGATCGATGATCTTCAGATTGTGCCCTATATCAGGGGAAGATGATGTGGATTCATTCTCTCACAGCCATTTTACCCATGCCTATTTGGGTCCCCGACTCAGGACGGTTAGGGTTATGGAAATTCTAGCCTCCATGACAACGGGTCCAGCGCCATGTTTAACTTTAAAATGACAAGCTGAGTCTCTCTGTCTGCCGCTCCCCACATTCTCCACCCCGATAACCCCGATTAAATCCTTTAAACCCCTCTATCATCGATGACTCCAATGCTCCATTTTCACTTGGTAGACGTCATTTTGTTTGTCATGATACTTGCGTCACGAACGTGGACGCCAGGGACCAATTCTATATAAGTTCGACCATTTCGAACCCATGCAGAGCTTCTTCACTCATTCAATACTACCTCCAAATCCAGTGCCGTGGAAAAACAGTTATTTCAAAGGCAAAAAGTGTTCATTATGTCTAGTACTGTTGGTAAAGTGAGTTCTCGACTCCCATGTCTTGATTCCCAAAACACCCTTCAAACTCTCAGCCTTCTGCGCTGCACGATGAGTAGCACTCTTTACCTCCTTGTCAACCAAAACCAATGTTATATTATGATATGCGCTCCGCGAATATTGTGCTAACTTGATATGATAGACCATAACTTGCAAGGTAAAGACTTTTGCAGCATATCTTCTAGATCATTGTCGCTGATAATATCAGGCTGCTATCGCTTGGGCTGCCGGCGAACCATTCTCTATTGAGGATGTTGAAGTTGCCCCTCCGAAGGCCCATGAAGTTCGAATTAAGATTATCCACACGGGCGTGTGTCACACCGGTGCGTTCTTCCGCGTTGTATACCCATGACCCAAATACGTATTCTTGTTACACTTTCCGATTTGACTCATATCGGCTAACATGGCTATGGCCACAATACAGATGCCTACACTCTGTCTGGTAAAGACCCCGAGGGAGCCTTCCCTGTTATCCTGGGCCACGAGCGCCGGTATCGTCGAGTCCGTTGGTGAAGGCGTAACCACCGTCAAGCCCGGCGATCAAGTGATCGCGCTCTAGTTAGTGATTTCTCTGATCTCACTTACGGCTATGAACTCTCGCTTATAAATTACCAGTACCCCAGAATGCGGCGAGTGCAAGTTCTGCAAGTCCGGGAAGACCAACTTGTGCCAAAAGATCCGGAACACGCAGGGTAAAGGAGTGATGCCCGACGGAACCTCTCGCTTCAGGGCACGCGGCAAAGATATCCTGCACTACATGGGAACGTCGACCTTCTCTCAGTATACCGTTGTGGCCGATATTTCGGTCGTGGCTGTTACGACGAAAGCACCGACAGATCGTGCCTGTCTGTTGGGCTGTGGCATTACTACTGGCTATGGTGCTGCCACCGTCACCGCTAATGTGGAGCAGGGGTCTAATATCGCCGTGTTTGGCGCTGGGTGTATTGGTTTGTCGGTGATTGAGGGCGCGGTGAAGAACAAAGCGGGTAAGATTATTGTGGTTGATGTCAATGATGATAAGGAGCAGTGGGCGCGCAAATTTGGTGCGACGCATTTTATAAACCCCACCAAGCTCAAGAACGGGAAGACTATTCAGGAGGAACTGATTGAGCTCACTGATGGTGGATGTGATTATACCTTCGACTGTACTGGAAATGTGGGTGTGATGCGTGCTGCTCTTGAATCCTGCCACAAGGGCTGGGGCGAGAGTATTATTATCGGTGTTGCTGCGGCCGGCCAGGAAATCTCGACTCGCCGTAAGTTTACTCAATCTGCTGGCTGTCTATATGTGACCACATTGCTGACTAGTTATATAGCATTCCAACTGGTGACCGGCCGGGTGTGGAGGGGTTGCGCATTCGGTGGCATCAAGGGCCGGTCTCAGCTCCCAGGTCTTGTCGATGACTACGTCGCCGGCTACCTCAAGGTGGATGACTACATCACGCATCGGGAGTCACTGGGGACCATCAATACGGCTTTCCAGCATATGAAGAGTGGCGACTGTATTCGGTGTGTATTGGATATGAAAGTGTAAAGTTGGGGGGCAATAGGGTATATCCATGTGTACAGTCTGCACAAATTGGCTTCAAAAGTAACTATAACAAATATATCTTTCCTCAGTGGCGGGAGTACGGAGTTGCCAATTTAGTAACATGATGAACATGAGGATCTCGGGAATCGCCGCTGAAAATGGCTCCCCTTTGTAGTCCCATGTAGGTGTCCCTCGTCGACCTCCCCGGTCAGGTGCTTATAACAAGCTCTCCCCCCCTGTCTCGATATTTTTACAGTTTCCCAGTAGTCTAATGATCTCCAATCCCCAATCCACAAGAGAACCCCGCGAGTCTTGCTGTCTATATTTCCAGATTCCACCCCCGATCATTCATCTTGGCCTTTCCAAGTGGCACGTCCACTCGTTTCGTCGGCTCGGAGCGAGGAGCACCAATACTGGACTGATCCAATTCTTTGCGAGGAGGCTCGAGCCAGGTTGGACCAGCCTTCGTAGCCTTGGATAATTACCTCCAAAGTTTACACCCAATACCTTAAAAGATGTTGTCGTCGTCGAACGCTACTGCTGGTCTTGCTATGAGCACGTTCAGCCTATATATCAAATTCATTATCATCGGCAAAATCCACCGTTGTCATCAACACGGATCAAGATAATGGCATACATAACCCACATAACGGGATACTGAGTCGGCGACCAAAAGTTGGATATTATGGGGGAAAGGATACTAGCCGTAAGCGGCGACAATATTGATTACGTTCAGCGACAATTTTAGTCTCTCATATTGTCATTAATGATGGCTTGATACCGAAAACCGCTCAACATCCTCACCGGCATCGCCATGCGAAAAGAAACTGCTAATGTTCGAGCTCTTCCGCTTTAACCAGCGCTTCCACCACCACTCGCCCTGCTGATCCTGGTGCACATCACACGGCAAGAGTATGGCATGATCCAGCGCATGCGGCAAACCACGGTGTCTGCCACGCACCTGCATAGCAATAATGATCAGCTTCGACACCGGGTTGAACTGCGCACTCAGACTCGTCTCTGTCTTTGGGTATCCCAACGAAAGCCCCACAGTTCCGTACGCGGAGACGATCTCGAACAGAAGCGGGAATAGAGAGAACGCGAAATCGCGGCCATGGGTTTGTTGGATGCGCTTGCCCTCGGTGACGGAGATGAGGAAGAAGCCCAACATCACGTACCACAGATCGAACCCGAGTTGCCGCTGAATATGTGCGGCCAGGCCGTGCGGGTTGGGCTTGTCTTCGTCGTCGTAGATGCCGAGGCTTTTCTCTTCGTAGACGTTGGTTTTTCGAATGGCGATTGCGATGGGGAAGGCTGAGATGTACATCATTACTACAAAGGAGACTTGCACTGCTGGGTGCAGGTTGCCCAGAGAGGTGATTGAGAAGCCGGCGGTTCGGGTGGAGGCGATTTGGAATAGTCCGTCTACGAAACGGAGGCCCGGTGAGAAGGGATTGCTTTGTGGGTTCTGTAGGGTGGGGGGATTGCTTAGTCGATATAACAGTAGATATAATATGCAGTGGGAACTCACCTCTTGGAGTGTGTAGAAAATGAACAGGTCCAGAGCGTTGATTAGGAGGAGGACACCTGATAACCTCCATGTCTCTGGTCCGGGGAAGAGCATCGTGAAGCATCGTCGCGGATGCTCGAGAAGGTAATGCAACTCGTCGTCTAACGGAGATCCGTATCTTGTGAATTTAGATAATAACCAAATGATGAAGCGCAGCATGCACGGAAAGCCGGTGTTCCCGATGACCACTAGAAAGGTCATCACTAACAGTGGAAATGCAGCGTTCCGGAATGAAGACATTGAGTCGGGGCTCAATGTGTACCCTAGATCATGGAATGCCGACCCAGCGGTAAATACCGCCCACCACGGCCGGTTCAAGCCCATGTCTTTGACCATCTGCCCATATTTTGAGTCCGTCATAATCCAAGGAATGAACAGTACAATGCCAAGTAGGTGAAACGCCAGAAAGTAGCAGACCAAGATAACCATCAACGTTTTCAGCGCCCTATATTCAATCCCTCCTAGCTCCTCCTTCTGATCCTCATCCCAGTCAGAATAACTCGCAATCGAATGCTGCCACATCAACGACGGCAAGAAAGGCATGCTGGGGCTGTCCGTTCGTGGGAAACCTTCATTGACAGCCTCAGAAAACGAGCGGCGGCGAGAAAAGGAAGATCGTCGCTTCTGTCTGGCTTCATAATCCCTGTCAGATTCGTAAAAGGTGATCCGTGGGCTCGAGGGACCTATGGCAGCTGGTTTAAAAGTTTGGTAACCAACGAGGGACTGAGGCTCGGCGTGTGTCGGGGGGGATGCTCCAGGGGAGATTTCCTCGTCTGTACTTCCGAGTAGGGGCTGCTCTTCGTCGTCCTTGTCGGAAGAGTCGAACGCAGTAGTGGTCGTATCTGTGGTATCGGTGATAGTTCTGTTCAGGCCTATCGGTCGTCGGGCCTCAAAGTCAAGAGCCTGGTTCATCCGCTGGCGTTGACTGTGGCATACTGCTTTCGCATCACGGATGGCACTCTTAAAGCGCTTCCGGAACCAGTAAATCCTGATTAAAACCAGTAACGAATGAAGAAACACAGGATTTGTGACCATGGGAACCAGCCATAGCGTTATTTGTTGCGATATATGCAGATCTTTGAGGTCTATAGGGTTAAGCCCGGTTTGAGTCGCGGCACCAGAAGCGAGCAATAAGGCATCGACAAAACTTAGACCTCCCGGAATGTAAAGGATTATCGACGCTAGTAGAGCCCAGATAATGATATAATAATAATGATGTTGAAGTCGTAGGGGAGAGGAATCAGTCTGTGGCTCATGGTAGGGGGGCATGGAGGGAAGAGGGGCTAGTTGGGATACACCCTCCAAAAGGTCTGCGGCGTGGATGCAAATGAAGGGAGGTAAGAATTCACGATCGTGACAATGGGCGAGAGCGACATGCCTAAATTAAATTAAATACTGTGGGATCATCGTGAAGTGAGGAGGTCAAAGTTGAGTGGCTGCGGATAGCCTGAGAAATGCCTCATTCTCATGGCTCCAATGGGTTTGGCCGGCACTACGTCCTGTTTCTGTCAACCCGAGAGAAAAGTATGTAACTGTAGCTGCTGTGGGGCTTTTATAGGCTGGAAGTACTCTGTACCAAACATTTTGCTCGAAAATAACCTGACGCAATTGTGCGACAGAGGCAACAGCTGAACGAAGGGAGGCGAATTCTTAGGGCCAGACCCAATGATTGCTCCGTTTAATCGCTCATTCCTCCGCCATTGACATCAACAAATTCTCCCCGGACCCATGGATCAGCAACCTTATTCCGTATAAGCATAAGCGAGGGAGGAAATCCGATGAGGAAGAAAATATTCAGATGGAAATAGAAACGTAGCTATACTGTAATCTTGTCTTTATGGTGGTCCCAGCACGTGACGAAATTATATATAAAACTTGCAGGATTGTTAGCGTGATCAGACTACCCCTAAGGTCTCCCCATTCTCCTTTCACGTATTGATCCACGAGGCTTCATACATCCTGACGGGTAATAATATGACTGGTTCATATGGAATACCTGTGCACTTTGGAATCCATGGGCATAGTGGTGTAAGAGCTCTGGCCATTGTGAATACAGTGATGAAGACAGTGGAGCGTCTTTTTCTGGCATGAAACAGTAGTCTAGACAACAGATTCGATATTTCGTATGAGAAACAAAAGTCCCTTGTATCCCAAAACAATGCAAGCAGAGACGTAGTGGTAGAAGTAAGAGTATGTGCGTTCTGCTCTTCCATTATTCACTGTCCATAGGACATGCTCGACAATCATCCTCGGCTGTAATTCACCATCCGTGCTCCCCACCAGTACGTAGCTACCAATCCTAACTCCTTATTACTCTCCTACCTACCCTCTGTATTTACTCCACGTGTTGCTTATGCTATTGCTAGCTCTTCACCATGGCCGAGTCACCCGCTAGTATCATGAAGCTATCTGTACGTGAAGCAAATAAACAAACTACGGTTATCACAAACTGATACAAACCAGCTACCTCTAGCGAATGAAGACCTGGGGCGTCTGATTAGACGTATCGAGCAACATCGTCCATCCGAAAACACTCTCACCGTTACTTTCTCGCAGGAACACGTACAGTTCATCTCTGTTTAAAAAGCTAGTATACAGATCCTAACACTACAGAAGGCCTCACAGGTACACGTCAACGATGGCGCAATTACCAAACCCATAGCAAAGACTAGACGCGTGAAGGTACGTCGCGCCCTCCACCGACATTATTTGCCTCCGGGTGATGAATGACAAAGCGACTGGCTTGTAGAAATCTTCAACCGTGAAGCCAGAGATCTTACCCGAGAACAACAACAAGGAAGCCCACAAACATCCAAAGAAATCCTCCGTGCAGGCGTTAGGAATGATAAACGTCGCAAACCTTACTGAACAGGAGACAGCTGACCTGATCATGATTATGTGTCCAGCCGACTTGGCAGGCGTGAAATGTAATCAAACAGATTGCAAGTTTCTCAGGCGATGTGAGGTGAGTTCACTGTTGTCATTCCTTGACTGATACAGCTTGATACTCATAAAATAATGTCTGCGGGTTGACAGTCAATGCAAGAGCATGAATCGATCAGTTGTGCCATGGCGAAATGCACCTATATTCACGGTTTAAAGGTCTCATGTCCGAAGATCCTCACGGACAGAGGATGTGTTACATTGTTTCTCTCCAGGCTGAACCCAAGTTACTGTCAGTTCGGCCACGACCATCGTGCGGCGAGGTTATTCAACTACAAGGAAGGCTCTGCGTGTCACGGCGTGCTGAATTTGGATACTAAAAAGAACGCCGGCTGGCTGGTCCAGGACCAGCCGGCTTTGGTTGGTACCTCGGGCTGGCGCAATTTGATGCATAAGGGGAAGCAAGGATCGCAAATATCTGGAGGAATAGTGAGGTTGATGATACTTGATACGCAGAAGCGATGGCGAGGGTCTCTTTCCTTCGCCTGGAATATAAGGCCCGTGGCTTCAATTCGTCGTAGGTGATCGACGGGGAGTTGAGGACGTATTATCATGTGGACACGATCGAAGGGGCGCCTTGTATCTGATGTCTTCAGGGACCGTGATCGTGCTATTATACCTTGATACCACGCCATTTGTACCTTGCTACAGTGTAGACATCGAGGGTCAATAATCAATAAAGGCAATTCATGCTATCGTCTTTGAAATGAGCACACGCACTTCATTATATAGCAAGAACGTCATATAGTACCATAGAGATTATGAATCCCGTTTTCATCCCACTATTGAGATCCGTACATTATTGCTGTAGGTGATTTACTACTGACAGGAAATCCGTTATCGGGAGTGGAACGGCTTTTTATTGTATTAGTTAGTACTAGATATAGTTCCTTTTAGATCCGTTGCGCTAAGAAGGGTCTTCGTGCAGCCAAGATCTCTTTTGGAGTATGACACCAAGCACCCTACATGGCTAATACATCCTGAACCTCGGAGGCCAAAAAGCACAGAAAACACCACAAGGAAGGTCAGTGAGGTGTCTGATGAACACAACCTTTCTTCCTTGCTCTTTCCGTCCTTTCTACCGTCGCAACGCCTCTAGTCACATTGCATAATATCTGCAGAATCAGCAATCTTGCTGCCAGTCTGTTCATGAAGACAAACTAATGAGCATCTGGATCACAGTCAGCCACCCGTGTGGTCTTTTACTAGACATCAGCACAAATGAACACGTCTTCTGCAAATCCTTTCAGTGCTCAATCAGCTCGTAGTTGCACATTCACGGCTGTGGAAGTAGATAAGGAAGTCAACAGAAACGAGACCCTGAGCATAAACGAGATCAATCAGTGACAGTGAGAGTGAACAAGGTGTGCAATAAAGGCCATTGGATGGGAGCTGGGTAACCAAATAAAGTCGTCATGTGGCCGGGAGCATAGGTTTCGACGCCGAAGGGGGCTGGTATTTCAAAGAATGGCCTGTTGCTTCTTCCTCCTGTCTTTTGCCTCCTGCTCTGTTTTTCTCTTTGCTTTACACTTTGCCTTTTGTATAGCAGCCGAATCCTCTAGAATGCCTTTGGTGAAATCGAGTAGTCCCATATGTCTCGCCTGCAGTGTCTGCCAACCTTCAGACAGCTGGCGTTTTCCAGACGCGATCTATTCGCTCCCGTCGAGGGAAAATACAGCCTTTGAGACTATACCCTGATTTAAAACATGGAAGATGCATTTCAAATTGTTGTGTGTTACTCAGGGTCACTAATATTCGTGAACTGCCGGAACATTGCTTCCTCATCTTGTCCACTAGGACCCGGCTCTGTATTCATCCTAGTCGCCTGCGAGTCTGTCTCCACATTCTTTGTCCGGCTCTGCTAGCTTTGGTGAGCGGCACATTAGCTGTATGCTTCAGAAAGCTAAGGTCTGAGCGCCTCCCCGAGTTGGTGACTGTCCAGTGTATTGGTACAACATACGCTTCATGGCCTTGAGCCGTATCGGTTGTTAGGACCTTTGGGGGCTAATCGAATGCCACACCCTTTCTTCGGCAAAGCTTTTGCAGGGCCACAATGTACATGCTCCTCTGTGCCAGGTATGGCACGAGCAATGTGAGGGTATAGCCCTACACAGACAGAACACGTTCTGTAAGAGTCATGTCTCTGTACATGTTCTTCAAGTTATCCGTGAAATGCTGTTCCCATCTCGGGTCACCGTACCAGTAATCGATACTCCGAGGAGATAACAGCTACTGCTGCGTATGTCCTGTTCGGAATAGCGTATCCAGATGCACTGTTTAAGGCCATTCAGGCAGGCAGATACTATTGGTGGAGTGCCCATTCTTCATTTTGCTATCGTATGTGTACCTGCTGGGGAATTCCGAGAGCTCTGGCTTCATTCGATGTTGGATGCTCAACGATACCCTGTGTTCTGTGGACTGAAGAGCTTTTCGCATAACAGTCGTCTTATTTGCGAGGCGAACTCATTGAAAAATTCCCCTTCCGAGCTCAGTACGGTAGGCCCCAGCTGGAATCTGTCCCCAAAACTAAGGATTCCCTTGATATCTTGAGCCCTTTTGAGGACAGTGATAGAAATCCAGGCTTGAACCTCCATACATTGACCATCCTGATCTGCAATAAGATGATGCCTCGGGATGTTCATCTTACATCCATATTTCCGGACGATATCTGAATGTACCAATTGGGGGTACAAAGCAGAATTCTCGCTGTATGGACAGCCTTTCGGACAGCATTTGCAGGGCTCCGGTGAGATCATTGTTTTCTTTTATTTCCTCAACTTCGTACTGCGTACGCTTTCCCACATCCACTTGCTGGGCCTTACGAAGCAGATGTCGTTTCATACAGTCTGGGTAGATGGCGACAGCATCCTCTGCTCGTCTTCGTTGGGACTAGCGGCCTCGTCGAGCAAGGCTACATCCTGAGGATGATCACTTCGCCGTGAGAGGTTACCATTCGGACGCTTTAAAGCGCTATTTATTGAGTTACATGAGAACAGGAACTTCTCATTTCTGCCTTCAGGTTCGTTGGCGACACCCCGAATCCAGGCGTGAAGGTCATGAGCATCGAGACCGATCAATACAGTCTCCGAAGATGAGGCGAAAGGCGGCAGGTAAAGAAGGACAGCCTCACGTAACTCGCAGGGATTCGATACTCAAGACAGATTTACTGATCGATGTCTTGGTATGACAACTCAGTAACAGATATTCCTTTGCTAGTCATCAGCGTGGCCAATAAACTTGCAACCAGTTTAAAGATACTGCCGACGTGGTAATTGGAGTACCCTAACGGGACACTCGTGCGTTATTGAGGCCTTGCATAAAGCCGA